CAGCCATCAAGTCAGTTTCCCTCGGCCCCGCCCCCTCCCGCCCGTCCGCGCGCAAGCCTGTTGCCTCGGCCCCGCCCATTTCTCCCTCTCACTCCTTCGGCCCCGCCCATCAGCCTTCTGCGCTCGCGCCAACGCTTCTCCTTCGACCCGGGCGTGCACAGCTCCTTCCCAATCATACTCCGGCCTGACTGCCTCGAACCAAGGGCCTGACTGCCAATCAATAAGCGGGATGGGGAAGGCAACGTAGCACGTGTTTTCGCCCCGCCCTCTCCAGCCACTCACAGGCTTCGAGCATTTCCATTGGCCAAGCCAGACGGGGCGGCCGCCCTGACGGCCAATGAGAGGAGAGGCTTCGATTCGGGGGCGGGCGGGAGCTCGGGGAACAACAGGCGCGCACTGGGTGCGGGCGACGCGGACGCGCGCCCCTCTCGCTCTCCCACTCCGCCCCTCTGGGGCGCGCAGTGGGCGGGGCCAGGCCGGAGGAAGCGTGTTGGGGGCGGGGCCGGGTGGCACGCGCTCCCCCGCGTGGAGCTGCGCTTCTGAGCCTTCTTCCCGGAGCAGGGGGCCCATCCCGGGAGGCCGGCCTGGAGGAGGGGGATCAGAGAGCTTACATGCTTGCCTTCCGCGAGCCCCACCGCCGTGCTAGTGTCGTGCCTGTCTTACAGAAGGGGACACTGAGCCTCGGGCACAGGGTCACGCAGCTGGGCAGGTCTCCCTGACTGCAAGCCCAGCGCTGCGGGAGAGGGGCGAGGGGGCGTGTCCTGGTCCGACTCCGCTCTGGACAGCTGGAGAGGAGGGCGACCGGCCCGGGGAAGGTCCGACGGACTTTGTACGTTTCGTCTTGTCTCTTGCTCCGGGATAGGATGTGATGTCAGCAGAGGACGGGGGTCTGGCATGCTGCAGGTGCCTAATGAATGCCCACTGGCTGACGGGCCCTGCAGTCCTAGGAGCCCTGACCGCTCTGCGGCCGCTGGACGTCCAGGAGACACTTTACCCCAAGCTGAACTCATTCCCTCCCCTCCCCCCTCCCCTTACCTGTTGCTGTCGAGGGCACCGACCCCGCCCCCCGCCAGCTTCCCAACCCGGGAGTCGTCCTGGACCCCTCACCGCCATGTCCAAGCTGCTGCCCAGGCCCGTCAGTTGTACCTTGCTAACGTTCCTCGAATAAGCCCCCTTCTCTCTTCCGATACTGCCCCCGCCCTGGTGCAGAACCCCCTCGCCATCGCCTGCACTATTGCAGTAGCCGCTGGGTGGGGTCCGCTGCTTCGAGCTCTCCCCACTTGGGTCATTCACCTACCGAAAAGGTTTTCCTAACGCGTAGGTCCGATCAAGTCTCCTTCCTTCTCGGTAAACTGCAACGGCTCCCTATCGCAAATACAGCACTCCCTGTTAGGCAGTCATAATCTACCCCCCCCCCCCCCCCCCCCCCCCCCCCTTCCCTCTCCTCTCACCCCTCCCTCCCCAACAGGTCCTCTTGGACAGGCCTTGGGCTTTGTCCGTTCCACGAGCATCTCTCAGCTCTGGCCATTCTCCCCTGCTGTCCCCCATGCCTGGCCTCTCTGCCTCCTCTGATCCAACTACTGCACCGACCTCCCCGGCTTCCTTTAAGTCCTAGTTATAATCCGACCTTCTACAGGAAGCCTTCTCCAGCGCCTCTTAATATCAGTGCCTTCCCTTTCTTATTTCCTATTCTGTCTATAATTTATTTGCTCATATGTTTGCTTGTTGTTTCTCTCATAGATCTTGAGCTCTTTGAGGGCAGGAACTGTCTTTTTGTATCCCCAGCATTTAGCTCAGTGCCTGGCATACAGGAAGTGCTTAATATATACTTATTGACCGAGTGGACAGGTAGGCAGTGGCCAGACCTCCATTTCACAGATGAAGAAACTGAGGGGAAAATTGACTTGCCCAGCGTCATACAGCCAATTAGTGGAATCTCTTAACTCTCTTCATCTTTTGGCTTTCCGTCTTTCCATCTTCTGGCTCTCCCCAGATGACATGGAAAATCTGACCATCACGTCCAGCATGTGTTGAAATCGCCCTTGCTCCCCATTGCCATTTCCAGCCTCTCCCCTGTCACCATCATTCAGCATCTGTTCCTTCTCTGAGATTTACAGTACTCATTAATCACTGACACCAGATCCTATCTACTAACCCTCACTTCCTTCTCCCACTTTTCTCAAGGAGGTCAGTACCTGCGTGATAAGTCTTCCTCTCCACACTAACCTTTACTTTATAATAAAGGATTTCAATGTGTCAAAAAAAATCCCAAATATTTTAGAATCCCAGTTCCTCAGTTTAATCAATTCCATGACCTGCATTTCCAATCCATCTGAGCTTCACCCTTGATCTCACCATATCCTTAAGTGTTGGGTGAAGAATTCTGAAATTTCTTTAACTGACCACACTCTATCATTCAGTCTGCAAGCAGGGGTGTGCTGAAACCAACTTGAACCAACCCACAAATCAATTGTTAAATTTTCAGAGTGGATATTTACACCTTGGAAATTGACAGATGCTAAAAATCAGGAATTTCTTGTCTGTCGATTGTCTCAGGTTGGGGAACCTGCAGCCTCGAGGCCGTGGCCTGGGTCCCTGGTCTAGACTTGAGAAAGTGATGGAGAAAATGTTAATAAAGATTAAGTGTAGCATTTCCCAGCACATCCCTGTGTCCCTCTTGATGCCTCACTCCTAAGACCACTCATCACTCTCACTTCTTGCTTCCTTCCCACCCATCTGACCACTCCTTCTCAGTCTGCTTTGCTGGACCACCATCCCTTAACCGTAGTGTTCCCCAACGCTCTGTACTGGGTCTTTTTCTTTGCCTTCACTGTCTCTTGGTGACCTCACCGACCACCCTGGGTTTAATTACCATCTTTCTGCAGTTACATGGAAGTGGGTAAAAATGAATTTTTTTTAAAAAAGAAATGAGAGGCCTACTCTAAGTTGCCTCCCTGAGAACCAGCTGAGAAGTCTTGTCTCCCACCTGACCATGGTGGTTGTAAGCACACAGTTGTCTATGTACCTTCAGATTTATTCTTTCCTGATCTTAAGCAAACAAGTGCTCTGGGATAGGAGTGTTCAGATGACCTTATAAGTTTGGGAGGTTCAGAGGTGCCATCAGTGGTCAGAGATGAATGCAGGCAGCTAGCAGCATCCATTGGGAGAGACTCCCAGATCTGGAGATCTAGCCCTGGGCTCACTCATCTTCTCCATTATCAGCTGCATATGAGACATTTCTAGTTAGATTTCCCATGGGCATGTCAAATTAATATGCCCATAAATATCTCATTCCTCTCCAGACTGAACTTTGAACTTTCTCTACCATGCCCCAGAAACCTCTACATCCTGGAAGTTCATTCCAGTCCGGGAATCCACACATTGGAAAGAGGAAAAGGACCTGTTTACACAAAGGTATTTTGGTGGTGGCTAAGAATCAGAAATTAAGGGGATGCCCGTCAATTAGAGAATGGCTGAACTAGATGTGGTATGTGATTGTAATGGAATATTATGTGTGCTGTGTGTGATCCGATGACATTTGGAGGTCTCCTCAAGCACGTAGAGCCTGGCTTGGGGGGTGGGGAGAGGAGGTTTGAAACTCAGGATTGATACAGACTCAGGCTCGGGCTGCTTTGAGTGATTTTAGAAAAACCTGGAAAGACTTATATGAACTGATGCGGAGTGAAGTGAACAGAACCAGGAGAACATTGTACACAGCAGTAGCAATAGTTTTATGATGAACAAGTGTGAATGACTTAGCTCTTCTCAGCAATCCCAAAGGACTCATGATGAGAAATGCTATCTGCCTCCAGAGAAAGAATGGATGGCATCTGAATACAGATCAAAGCATACCATTTTCTCTTTCTTTCTCTCTCTTTTTCTTCCTTCCTTTCTCTTTCTATCTTTCTTTTTTCTTTCTTTGATCTTTCTTCCACAAAATGATTAACATGGAAATAAGTTCTACATGATTGCACATGTATAACCTATATCAGATTGCTAATCATCTGGAGGGGAGGGGAAAGATGGAGGGAGAAAATTTGGAACTCAAAATTTAAAAAAAAAAGAATGTTAAAAATGTTTTTACATGGAAGTGGGTAAAAATGAATTTTTTTTAAAAAAGGAATGAGAGGCCTACTCTAAGTTGCCTCCCTGAGAGCCAGCTGAGGAGTCTTGTCTCCCACCTGACCATGGTGGTTGTAAGCACACAGTTGTCTATGTACCTTCAGATTTATTCTTTCCTGATCTTAAGCAAACAAGTGCTCTGGGATAGGAGTGTTCAGATGACCTTATAAGTTTGGGAGGTTCAGAGGTGCCATCAGTGGTCAGAGATGAATGCAGGCAGCTAGCAGCATCCATTGGGAGTTGCCAGTGGCAATGAAATCAGCTGCAATAGGGGTTCAGAAATAGTTCCCCAATAGTTGGCAGGTGCCCCTTTGCCACACATGTTCTCCACCCAAAGGCCTCAGTACCATTGTGCTTTAAATTTGAGGTCACCCTCCCTGTGGCTGTTGGGTGGGTTTTTGGGACAGTGTGCCCCAGGATTTGAGGGTTATGTTTTGTACCAACTGTTCTTACCAAGCCATCTGTAAATGGTAAATATCTGGCTGGCTGCCTGATTGCCGATGAAGAGCATATGGGTGGAGGCTCAGGAGCCATAGTATTCAAAATAGTCCCTCAGGGCTACCTTTAGAACCCTTAGACAGTAGTGAGTAGCAACTGTGATTCTGGACACCCCAAGTCATGAAGTGAGGTTAAAAAAGTGATCCCAGAGGAAGTGCTACATATCTGTTTTGTATGTATATATGTACATTTTGCCTCTCCTTATACAATGTAAACTCTTTGATATGCCTAGCACCTATAATACTGCCTGACACATTTCAGTTGTTTTTCAGTGCTTTCAATCATGTCCTACTCTTCACAACCCCATTTGGGGTTTCTTGTCAAAGATGCTGGCGTGGTTTGCCATTCCTTTTCCAGCTCATTTGACAGATAAGGAAACTGAGGCAAACAGGATTAAGTGACTTGCACAAGGTTACTCAGCTAGTAAGTGTCTGAGGCTAGATTTGAACTTGGGAAGATGAGTCTTCCTGATTTCAGGCACTGCAGTGCCACCTAGCAGCCCTACCTGACACATAAGAGTTCTTAATAAATGCTTTCTAATTTACTTATTGATTTACACTCGGTGTAATCCAGCCAAACTGGCCTTGCTGTTTCTTGTGCATGACGCTTCATCCCATCTCCATGCATTTGCCCAGACAATTGTCACCCTTCCCTGGAATGCACTCCTTCCTCATCTCCGCTCTCCTTCACAGCTCAACTCAAGTGGCACCTTCTCCCTGAGGTATCTCCTATTCACCCTGTCCAGGGGCAATACCTCCCCTAACCAAAATTAAAAAACAAAGCTTCCTTGTCTTAATTGTGTATCTACTGTTGGGCATAATTACATATGTACGTGATGTCTCCCCTGTGAGGGCAGACACTGTTCCATCTTTGATATCTCCAGCACGTAGCACGGTGCTTGGCTCATAGCAGGTGCTTAGTAAATGATGGATTGATTGGTTGATTGAATCCTGGTCTTCTGAGTCCAAGCCCACTGCTCAGATTAAAATGTTGTTAGACTGGAAAGGAGAAGGAATCCCTTGGTCCAACTCCCTCATCATACAGATGTAGAAAGAGTCCTGGAGAGAGGAAGTGACTTTTCCCAGTTTGGAGCTCTATTATAATTGCTGACCTTGTGGCACAGTGGATAGAGCACTGGTCTTGGAACCAGGAAGACTTATCATCCTGAGTTCAAATCTAGCCTCAGATACTCACTAGCTATGTGACCCTGGGCAGGTCACTTAACCCTACTTGCCTCAGTTTCCTTATCTGTCAAATGAGCTGAAGAAGGATGTGG